GGCAGAAATTGTACATAGACCAAGAGGCAATAATTTGAACAGAACAAAGGGATACTACATTGTTTAAAGTTAGAAAAAGTGTGTGTCAGAGTTGCATCTTTTCATCATACCTATTCAATTTTGTTTGCTGAGCACATCATCTGAGATACTAGACTGTATGAAGAAGAATGTGACATCGTGATTGGAGGAAGACTCATCTGTAAGAGTCCTATCACACCTGTATTACACAGATGACACAGCTTGCTTGTACCTGATTCAAGCCATGGTATTTTCAGTTATCTCATACACTGGGCAATGAATAAGGAGAACTGAAGAACTAATGGCTATATGGACTGTGCTGTTTTTGAAGAATATTGAACATACCACGGATTGCCAAATGAACAAAAAAAGTCTTGGAAGAAGTGCAGCCAGCATGCTCCTTGGAAGGGAGGATGGTGAGAGTTGATCTCATATCCTTTGGGCATGTTATCAGGAGAAGCCAGTCACTGGAAAAGTACATCATACTTGCCAAAGTAAAGGATTGGTAAAAAAGAGGAAGACCCCCAATGAGATGGATTGACTTAGTGGCTGCAACAATGGGTTTAACCATTGCAGAGACTGAGAATAGCAAAGGACTGGGCAGGGTTCTCTGTACATAGGATAGCTACAAATTGGGGCAACTCAATGGCAACTAACAAAATATCAAGTGCAACCAAATACTCCTTGCAGTTCTGCTTTGGCCCCGAAACCTTGCTTTCTGAAAATAAAAGGGATTTGAAGCACTTTCTAATGAAAATCAAAGACTATAGCCTTTAGTAAGGATTATACTTAAATATGAAGAAAACAAAACAAAAATTCTCACAATTGAATCATCAACAGCATGAAAAACAGAAAAGGTTAAAGTTGTCAGGGATTTTGCTTCACTTGATCGACATTTGATACTCACAGAAGCAACAGCTAAGAAATCAAATGGCATATTGCATTGGGAAAACCAGCTGCCAAAATCTTCCTTAAACTGTTAAAAAGCAAGAATGTCACTTTGAGGACCACATTGTACTTGGCCCAAGTTTCCAGTCACCTCATACACATGCAAAGATGGATAATAAATAAGGAAGAGCAAGACCGGGCAAAGTGTGGAAATTATCGAACAATAAACATCAAGGATATCACATGCAAGCAAAATCCTACTGAAGGTTATCTGAAAATGACTGGATCATCAACATACATCAATAGAAAACTACTAGAAATACAGGGTGGGTTTAGAAAAGGCTGTGGCACTAGAGACATTATTGCCAGTGTCAAGTGGATCTTGGCTGAAAGCAAAGAGTTCTAGAGGCATGTCTATCTGTGTTTCATTGACTATGAAAATGCATTTGACTGCGGATAACAACAAATTGTGGCTAACCTTGAGAAGAATGGGAATTCCAGAACACTTGACTGTATTCATGCAAAACCTACACTTGGACTAGGAAGCAGGCATCAGAATGGAGCAAGGTAACACTTCTTTTCAGAATCAGGAAAGGACTGTGTTAGGGATATGTCCTGTTTCCATATATTTTCAGTTTGTATGCAGAACAGATCATTTGGGAGGCTGGACTTTAGGAGGAGGAATGTAGCATCAGGATTGGAGGAAGACTCATCAGCAATCTATGTCGGATGACACAACCTTGTCTGCCAAAACTGAGGAGGACTGGAAGCATTTGTTGCAGAAGGTCAAAGACCATAGTCTTCAATATGGATTGAAGCTCAACATCAAAAGACAAAGATTTTCACCACTGGACCAATTGGCAGTATCATGATAGATGGAGAAGAGATTGAGGCTGTTAACAATTTCAGCTTGCTCAGATCCACAATCTTGACACTAGCAGCCAAGAAATAAAAGAACGACTTGCTCTGGGGAAAGCTGCTGTCAGAGACCTCTCCAAAGTGCTAAAAAGCAACAATGTCAGTCTGGAAATTAAGATATGTCTGATTCAAGCCATGTATTTGTAATTACTTGCTGTGCATCAGAGAGGTGGACAATAACTGGGGTTGACAGGAGAAGAATTGATGCCTTTTAGATATGGTGCTGGAGGACATCAAGAGAACAAACAAGTCTGTCCTGGTGAGGGTGAAGCCATGCTGCTTCTTGGAGGCAAGGATTTTGAAGCTCTATCTCACATACTTTGGGCATGTTGCCAGGAGCAACCAGTCCCTGGAGAAGGGCATCATGTTTGGAAGGGTAGAGGGACAGTGCAGGAGAGGAAGACCCTTGATGAGACGGATTGACACAGCAACTGGGGTGATGGGGTGAATGTGTTGGTGACAGAGAGACTGGCTCAGGATAGAGCAGAGTTCAGAGCTATTATTGTACATAGGCTCACTGTGAGTTGCAAGCGACCTGATGGCTCATAAAAACAACTAAGAATTGGTATGTGTCAATTTGATGGGTGGAGGGAGGGATGGGTAAAGGAAAGGGGAAAGATATGGTGTGAAACACAATGTATATGAACTTCATGGACTTTGTATGTAAACCAGCATAAAATAAAAAAAAAAGAATTGATGTGTGTGAATTATGGTGTTGACAAGGAATATTGCTTATTATAGACATGCCAGAAAACGAAACAAAATTATCAAGAGATGGCAACCAGAATGCTCTGTGAAAGAGAGAGTAATAACAAGATGTGATTGCATATATTTTGGACACATTATGAATAGAGACCAGTCTCCAGATAAGGACACCAGACTTGGTAAAATAAAGGGCCAGTGAAAAAGAGATTGATGCAGTGGCTGCAACAGTTGGCTTGAACACAACAACTATTGTGAGGATGCCGCAGAACTAGACATTTTGTTTTCTTGTATCTCACTCATTGCTGCTGAGTCGGAGCTGCTTCGTGGTTGGCCTTTTATTGGATTTCCAGTGCTGTAAATCCACCAGGAGAGGTTGACTGTTATAGTTAGGCACCATCTAGTTCTGGTCTCAGGATCAAAGAGACCAAAGTCCAGATGGTCTTTTTTCACTCTTCCTTGCTCCAAAGAGGGAGACACCAATCGTTACACCTTTGAGTGTGTTATTTGTCAGTGGTTCTTGTTTCCTTATAAACTTATTATTGCTCTAATTGTGTAAAAAATTATGATGTAGTTTAAAAAGATTTTTACCTTGAAATTATTTGCTCACAATAAAGTTGTGAAGTAGTACCTAGAATTCCTTAAACCCTTCCTCTAGCCTCTGAGGAATCTTAGATAACTGCACAGACACTTAAACTGCAGACCTTATTGTATTTTAATTAGATTTTATATGCACTAATGTGTGTGTGGTTTGTGTGTGTTTTTGATGGCCTACTGGTGAGAAGCTGGCCTCCTAGTGAGAAGCTGCACTGCAATCCCAAAGACACACAGTTGGAGCCATAGTTAACTTAATGACTTAATTATTCCATTATTAAATAGTATTAGGTTCAAAAAGGAAATATAAATGATTTGTTGTTGTTAGCTCTCATTAACTATGAATCATAGTGATCCCATGAACACCAAATCAGAACCTTGCCCTATCCTGTGTCATGGTCACAATTTCCAACATGTTCAAGCCCACTGTTGTAATAACTATGTCAATCATCTCCTTGAGAACCAAATAATGGTACACACACTCTCACACTCTGTTATTACTGTGTGCTGTCGAGTTATAAGAAACCCATAGCTGACCCTCCAGAGGGTTTTCAGAAGCAGAATACCATGATTGTCCATCCCCCAGCACAGCAGCTGTGGTTCCAACTGTGTGTCTTTGGGATTGCAGTGCAGCTTCTCACTAGGAAGCCATCAGAAGCACACACAAACCACACACACGTTAGTGCATATAAAATCTAATTAAAATACAATAAGGTCTGCAGTTTAAGTGACTGGACCTCATGCACTTGCTGCAGAGGGTCAAGGACTGCAGCCTTCAGTATGGACTAAGGCTCAATGTCAAGAAGACAAAGATTCTCACCACTGGACCAATTGGTAGCATCAGGATGGATGGCGAAGAGATTGAGATTATTCATGACTTCAGTTTGCTCAGCTCCACAGTCAACACTCTTGGCACCAGCAGCCAGGAAATTAAAAAAAATGTATTGCGATGGGAAAGTCTGCTGTTAGGGACCTCTCTAAAGTACTCAAGAGCAACGGTGTATCTCTGGAGACTAAGGTGCGCCTGATACAGGCCATGGTCTTTTAAATCACTTGTTACGCATCAGAGAGTTGGACAATGACTAGGGAGGACAGAAGGAGAATTGACGCCTTTGAGCTGTGGTGCTGGAGAATATTGAATGTACCATGGACTGCTAGGAAAACAAAACAGATTAGTCCTGGAGAGGGTTAAACCGGGCTACTCCTTGGAGGCAAGGATTCTGGGGCTTCGTCTGACATTCTTTGGACTTGTTGTAAGGAGAGACAGGTCCTCGGAGAGGGACATCATGCTTGGTAGGGTGGAGGGACAGTACAGGAGGGGAAGATCCTCTATGAGGTGGATTGATTTAGTGACTGGGGTAATCGGGATGGGTGTGTCAGAGGCAATGGGATTGGCACAGGATAGAGCAGGCTTTAGGGCTGTTGTACATAGGGTCGCTATGAGTCGCAAATGACTCGACGGCACATAACAACATCAGCTTCCACACACGGGGTTTAAGCACCTTTGTTATTCTGGTCTCATGGTATCTGGTGGGAGTGAAGCCTGTATAATAATGGTCCTTGGGTAAGGCAATATCCGATATAAGCACCATGTTCCAGTGGGATGACCTACAGGGAGATAAGATAAATTCTTGGAGAAGCTCAGGTAGTAGGAGGGAGTTACTGTGGACAGGATGCTATGGTTGTGAAAGGATCTACATCCTAGAAGATCCTAGGAAGCCTGTGTCACAGAAACTGACACGCTAACTTTCTCTCCAGCAGTGGTAACTCCAAGACAGGCAGAGAGAGAGAATTCAAGGACCCAGGAGAATCCAGCTTGAGACCTACACTGAAACTGGTTCCAGACTGACCACTAGCACCCAGGACCCAGACACAAGACCATGAGACCCCAGAATTCCAACCTTGTGAAGCTGCTCTGCCTTCTAGGGACCATTTCCTCTCTGCCTCGTAGGTTCTGTGGGGTTGGATGTTCTGGGATCCCAGTGGGTGTGGGACTGGAGTCATGTTACTGAGGAAGGAGGCCTGCATATGGACCTCTCAGGGGACATGCTTCATGGAGGCTAAGGTCTCGGTAGCCAATTCTGGAAGTTGGAAGAATCTAGTGACAATATGAAAAGGCAAATGACCCTTAAGAACATTCTTTGTCTAGGGATTGGAGCCCTTTTGTGCTACGAAGCAACCGCCTCATACTTCAGAGCACTCACTCTTCACAACTGGAAGTGGGAATTGTTGAGGAGCATGGTCTGTCAGATGAGAGAGGGCTGCGAGGAGACACTGCTGTTTATCGAGACAGGTATAGGTGATATATGAGGGTGGGCTTGACACATTTAGTGTCATTATTTTGGTCCTCATCTCCAACTCTAGCACCCAGGAACTCTGGGCTCAAGTTCCACATACTTTGAATTGTACTTGAAAAGAAAGTGGAATACCCCATGGGCTGCGAAAAGAGCAAATAAGTCTGTCCCGGAGGAAGTACTTCTAAGAGGCAAAGATGGTGAAACTTTGCCTCACATGCTTTAGACATGTTGTCAGGAGAGGCAACTCCTTGGAGGGTGGCATTAACACAAGGAATGGTGAGTGAAAGAGAGGAAGACCCTCAACGGGATGCATGGCACAGTGGCTGGCACAGTGGGCTTGGGCCTATCAGAGATGGTGAGGCTGGCACAGGATAGGGCAGTCGGAGAATCTGTTGTTCCTACAGTCGACTCAACAGCAACTAACAACAACAGTCTTTGGGAGGGAGCTTTTGAGGCACAGTGGTTAAAGTGCTCAATCACTAACCAAAAGGTCCTTGGTTGGAACCCACCGGCTTCATGGGAAAAAGTTCTGACGGCCTGCTTGCCCACAATTCGAAACCTGGTGGGGGCAGTTCTACTCTGTCCTAGGGTGTGGCCATGAGCCAAAATTAACTCAAGAGCAGTGAGTTTGGCTTGCTGTCTTGGGGGATAATGTCGGGACAGTGGTAAGGTTGTGGTGTGGGCTGGATAAGAAGGCAGAATGGAGATGCAAAGATCCCCAGGTGGTTGTTGTTAGGTGCTGTCAAGTCAACTACAACTCACAGCAAGCGTGCGGCCCACAGAGTCACGGACTGCCCGATCCTGTTCCATCCTCACAGTCCATCAGTGCTGTCACTGGCAATCCATCTTACGGGGGTTCTTGCTCACTTTCTTTGACCCTCTGCTTTTCCCAGCATTATGTCCTTCTGTAAGGACTGGTCTCTCCTGACAATATGTCCAAAGTCAAGTTGCTTAATCCTTGCCTCTAAGGAGCACCCTGGTTGCACTTCTTCCCAAGCAGGTTTGTTAGGGGTGGTTTTTTTTTGCAGTCTATGGTCATTCAGTAGCTGGGGTAATGAGGATAGGTGTGTCAGAGACAGTAAAGTTGGCACAGGATAAAGCAGGTTTCAGGGCTATTGTACATAGTGTCATTATGAGTCACAAGCAACTTGATGGTACATAACAACAATAACATATTCTATTCAATACCCTTCACCAATACCATAAGTCAGAGGCATCAGTTCTTCTTTGGTCTTCCTTATTCATTGTCCAAATTTCAGCCGTATAAGAAGTAGACAAAAATACCATGACTTGGATGAGATGCACCTTTGCAAAGTCCTTGCAGTGGTTCTTGACAGTGGTTTTCCCAATGCAACACACTGTTTGATTTCTTAACTGCTGCTACCATGAACATTGAGTGAAGAAAAGGGAAGGGTGACTGGGAGATGCTGCTGGAGACCTGGCCTTTGGACCTTGTGTAGCTACAGACATAAGAAGACACAGAAAAATTGGGTGTGGGAGGATGACATCTGGGTAGGGCCAGACATTCATTGATATTCTCTTATCCTCTGCTTCTCAGGAACCAAAAGAGGAGTTGTGGGATTTAAAGGCTGCACTTCTAGCTTATCTTACCCCGCACAAACCTCTTACCTGGTTCCACCGCCTGGAGTGTCCATTGCCTCCTATAGCCGTGTCTGCCGTCGCTACCTCTGCAACAACCTAACCAACTTGGAGCCCTTTGTGAAGCTCATGGCTGACAACATCATGCCCACAGACATTACTTCTCATAGTTGCCCAACCTGTGTGGGTGAACACATGAAGGATTGCCTCCCAAATTTTGTCACCACTGAATCTTGCCCCAGGGATGCTTCTCTGTGTTACAGTTCCACCTTAAAATTTCGGGCAGGTAAGAGGAGGACATTCTGTTCATCAGATGTTTATTCTTTTATTTTAGTGAGGGTAGTGGAATCTGAGGGTAGGATTGGGGTAATGAGGCTTCAGGTAGACAAACTCCTTAAGGAGGAAGAGGAAAAGTGCCTGGTGTCCAAGTCTTTGGTAGGAGAGCAATTCCTGGGTTTTTGTTTTGTTTTGTTTTTACTGAAGGATGGTGACTGAGATGCTCATGCAATAACACTCAAAGTTTAAAACGATATATCCATGTAGAAAACTAGTCTGGCTTCTTCTATCTGCAGTTTTTCACAAAGGTAAACATGTGTTCACCATGTTTGTTGTTGTTAGTTCCTGGGTTTTGAGAGTCTGGGAAGGGGCAGGATATGTAAGTCTTGAAAATGTCCCTGACCCTCTCTCTCTCTCACACACAGGGTCTCTCAATACCACCTTCCTCCTCATGGGTTGTGCCCGCAGCCATCAAAGGCTTTTAGCGAATTTTCGGACTATTGGGAGCATCCGAGCAACTGAAGTTCGTAACATCTTGGAGAAAGCTCAATTGTCGGGAGCACAACCCTCCAGTTGGGGTCCTGCTCACAGCATCCTCTTAGGCCTCTTACTGGCCTTCAGGTAGCTTACAATGGAGCCTGCCTGGATAAACACCCAGACCTCTTTACTATGATTAAATAAAACCCGAGTTTGTCTTTATGCTTTGTTCTGCTTGTTACTGAATGCAAGGGGTTCTTACTATAGTCAATTGTCAGTAAGAAAGATAGATTGCAATATCCAAAGCACTTCATTGCAGATCTGAGAGAGCAGAGAGAATCTTCTCAAAATCACCTCCCCTTCTAAGAGTGGACACTGGCTTTTTCACTTGGGTTAAATGTCCACTTGTTGTACAGAGGTAACTTGCGGTTGCTGTGAAGCTGAACACTGTGACACTGATGAGTAAAATGCGAGAATGGTTACCCATGGTGGACAATGTTTGGTGAAGCTCCCCAATTAAAACAAGCTTGGAAGCAGGAGTGACATCCACTTCCACAGTAGCTTGCCTCTGGAAACCCTATGAACCTGGAGAAAGCACGAAAGTTATGCAGGAGGTGTCCAGCCAGGACTTTCGTTCATAGGGTCACTATGAGTCACCTGTGACTTGATGGCACTTAACAATAGCAATAAATGTTAATCTACTTAACACATTACTTTTGCTGGTTTAAAGTTACAGGATTTTTACATTCAAAAAGAACATTTATATACAGTTATTAGTAAACGAATTGTGAACTAGTTTACATATGACTTAAGAAAATACTGTTTTAAAGAGGTAAATTCTAATCTAAGAAAGATGCATTTTCTTTCCTGGTAAACAGGCAGTTTAAGGTACAACTTACATATGACTGAGAAAAACAGTCTCAAAGAGGTAAATGCTAGGGAGCTCTGTTGGCTTAGTGGCAAGAAAGCTGCACTGCAATCCCAGAGGCACATGGTTTGAATCCACCATATGCTCTGCTGGGGAAGGAGGGGCTATTTCCTCCTGTACCAGTCAGATTTGATTTGACGGTACACACACAAAAGTAATAAAATAAAATAAAAAAGTAAATGCTAATCAAGAAAAGATGCATTTCCTCTCCTGGTAAACAGTTGAAAGTACATTAATAAGAAAGATAAAATTCTACAGCAAAGCAATTAGTTTTGCAGGCTGGAGGCAACTGATGTTAATTTTATAACTACACTAACATATATTTGGATAATCTTAATTTTATTAATACTACATGGGTTCCTGGTTTAGCTGGCGCCTTCACAGGCTCGTGGGAAGCTCTCCTTGCCAGAAGGCAGGAGCGTGGTGGTGGGGAGTGCAGAAATCGCGGCAAGCTTTGGAGTGGACTCGGGCCAGGTTCAAATTGTCTTCCTGTCAAACACTCTTCTAGGTGGTATAGCACTGGTCTGTGCGTTGCTGTACAGAGGTAACTCGTGGTTGCTGTGATGCTGAAGCCTGTGACAGTGATGTGCCAAACATGGTAATGGGCACCCATGGTGGACAGTGTTGGCTGGAGCTTCCCGACTAAATCAAGCCTGGAAGCAGGAGCGGCACCCACTTCCAAAATGGCTTGCCTCTGGAAACTCTATGTACGAACAGTGCTCAGGCTGTTCGTTCATAGGGTTACTATGAGTCGTCTATGACTCGACGGCATTAAACAACAACAAACAACCCTATCATGTGCGTGTGTGTGTGGTACTAGGGATATTGTAGCTGATGTTAGATGGATCTTAACTGAAAGCAGGGAATACCAGAGGAATTGGATCATAACAAACTATGGCTGACTCTGAGAAGAATGGGAATCCCAGAACACTTGATCGTTCTAATGCGAAACCTATACTTGGACCAGGAGGCAGTCGTCAGAACAGAGCAAGGGAACACTGCATGGTTCAAAATTGGGAAGGGCGTACGCCAGGGATGCATCCTATCTCCATACCTTTTCAACCTATATGCAGAACAGATTATCCGGGAGGCTGGGCTCTATGAGGAGAAGTGTGGGGTCAAGATTGGTGGACGATTTATCAACAATCTGTGTTATGCAGATGACACAACCCTGCTTGCTGAAACTGAAGAGGACCTGAAGCACCTCCTGCAGAGTGTCAAGGACTGCAGCCTACAATATGGATTGAGGCTCAATGTCAAGAAGACAAAGATTCTCACCACTGGACCAATTGGCAGCATCAGGATGGATGGTGAAGAGATTGAGATTGTACACAGCTTTAGTTTGCTTGGCTCCACAGTCACCAAACAGTCTTGGCACCAGCAGCCAGGAAATTAAAAGGTGCATTGCCATGGGAAAGTCTGCTGTTAGGGACCTCTCCAAAGTACTGAAGAGCAATGGTGTTTCTCTGGAGACTAAGGTGGGTCTGATACAGGCCATGGTCTTTGCAATCACTTGTTATGCATCAGAGAGTTGGACAATGACCAAGGAGAATAGAAGGAGAATTGATGCCTTTGAGCTGTGGTGCTGGAGAAGAGCATTGAGAATACCATGGACTGCTAGGAAAACAAACAGATTTGTCCTGGAAAGGGTTAAACCGGGTGGCTCCTTGGTGGCAAGGATTCTGAGGCTCCGTCTAACATACTTTGGACATGTTGTGAAGAGAGACTGGTCCTTGGAGAAGGACATCATGCTTGGGAGGGTGGAGGGACAGAGCAGGAGGGGAAGGCCCTCTATGAGGTGGATTGATTCAGTGACTGGGATAATCGGGAGTGTCAGAGACAGTGCGATTGGCACAGGACAGAGCAGAGTTTAGGGCTGTTGTACATAGGGTCGCTATGAGTTGCAAGCGACTCGACGGCACATAACAACAACAACAACAACAGCAACAACAACCCTATCATGTTCTCCCTGTCTGGGAGAGTTGTGGAGGTGTTAGGGTGTGAGGAGGGCTGGGAGGGGCCCAGGCAGGTGAGGCTGTGTATTGAGCAGATAAGGGAGGGGTGGGGAAGAGATGAGAGGAGGAATCCCTGTGTTCCTTTTTTCCCACTTCTTCTGGGACCTGAATTCTAACCCGGGGTTAGCCCCTGATTTAAGAGATCCTAGCCAAATTTTTTATTTTTCTGGGCCTCAGTTTCATCCTTATTAAAATGAAGGACTTGAGGAGTTAATGAAGTTAACTAAAGTTAAATGAAGGGCAGGAAGCTCTCTTGAGCTAGTCTGTAAGGAATTGCACCTGTTAACCTAAAGGAATGCCTCTGGTGGTTAGAATTCATCAGCAGCCCTGCAAGAGAAAAATGGGCAATCTCCACCTGTTTGATTTACAGCCTTGGAAACCCAGTGGAGGGTCAGCCATGGGTTGGCTCCATCTCATAGGCAATGGGTTGATTTTTTTGAAAAAGGGGTAAAGTGATCTGCAACTTGAAGCCCAGGATTATGCTTGAAAGGGTCCCAAAGAGGCTGTTACATCTGTTTCAGGTACTGTGCTAGTTGTTGTTTTTTTTAAAAAAATTTTTTATTATTAATTTCAATGAAAATTTACAGAGTCTTTGGATTTCCATTCATTCATTGTTGCACTTTTCTCCCCTCCCAACCCTCCCCCCAGTACACTCCCCTCTTGGAAAAGTAAAAGAAACATTCTTTCATTTTTTACAATCCCTCCCTCCAGGTCCACTCCACTATGAAGCTTTTGCTCTGGACTCCTGTCATGACAAAAATACTTAATCACGTATCCCTTTTAAACAGTTTTCTCTCTCATCTGTTTCGATGCAGTATACATTATTGAACCCAACTTTCTCAGTCTCTCCCCAACCCCGATGTCAGTCCTATTTTATAACAGTGACATTATGCAGTAATTGCCCTTTTGTGACTGAGATACTTCACTAAGCATAATGTCCTCTAGGGTCACCCATTTTGAATAATATTGCATGAGTTCCTTGTTTTTTAATGCAGCGTAGTATTTCATTGTGTGAATATATCACAGCTTCTCTATCCATTCGTTTGTTGATGGGCACTTAGATTGTTTCCAACTCCTTGCTATTGTGAACAAAGCCGCGATAAACATGGGTGTGCATATATCTGCTTCGATGTCAGTTATGGTCTCTGTGGGGTATATCCCCAGTAGTGGAATTGCAGGGTCAAATGGTATCTCTGTTTGCAACTTTTTGAGAAAGCGCCATACTGCCTTCCACAGTGGTTGCACCTGTGCTAATGTTTTAAGTGCAGGTTGTCAATACAACCTCAAGACCTCTTAGAGATGGATGATTTCCTTATTTTCTGAAGAGGTCAATTCCAGGAGATTCCTCACAGATATAAGTCCTTGCTGGGAGAATTTACCAAGACACGTGGAGTTCTGAACTGCTTGTAGGTGTTTCTTTCTGGACAGTGGTGATGGTTAATTTTCACACCAAAGGTCAGTCTTCTGACTTTGAAAGAGAAAGACGGTGGGATTTCTCTCTTTGACCACAACGGGGCAGCAGGTAAATCCACTCCTTCAGGTTAAGCAAGGGTTAGGGTTAGGATTAGAGTGTGTGTGTGTGTGCGCGCTTGCGCTTTCCTTTCTGTGCCAGTAAGAAGACAGCCAGCCGACTCACTCAGAAACATCACCCCTTCAAGTTTAGGATGCGTGTACACATATGTGACATAAGGAAAAGAGAGTTTCTGTGCTACGCCATTTACATGTGGAAATCTCAATTTTCTCAATCACTTCATCAGATGGGGAGGCAGGGATGGGGCACCTTTGGGGTGGTGCGTTAAGAGCCATTGAGTTGAGTACAACTCATAGCAACTATATGAACAACAGATCAGAATCCAGTTCTATCATGTGTCCTCCTCCTCATCTCAGCCACATTGCACTGACTCCATTGTTGCAATCACTGTGCCAATCCATCTCATTGGGTCTTACTCTTTTTCACTGTCCCTTCACCTTTGCAAGCATGATGTTCCTCTAGCCTCTCCTAGCATCATGCTCAAAGTATATGAGATGAAGCTTCATCATCCTGGCCTCTAAGGAACACTCTGGTTACACCTGCTCCAAGACATACTTGTTTGTTCTTTTGGCAGTCCATGGGATATTCAGTATTCTTCTTCAACACCACAACTCAAAGGCATCAGTTCTTATTCTGTTATCCTTTTTCATTGTCAAACTCTTAGATTCATAGCA